GAAGTAATGATGATGAGACTTAATAAGAAACAGGAAAACTTTGGTACAACACTGTTTTACGCTCAGTGAATCTGATTGCTGGAGTTCTGTCTAACATGGCCTCACAGAGCTGATAATGGACACGTGCTCCCAATAGAAACATGGAGAGAGTATCAACTATTTTTCTAATTCACATATCTTCATGTACATTTTATATTAGTTTCACAGTTTTTCTTTCTTAATCGTTAAGATTTGAAATCGCCCTGGTTTTTGCTGCATTATTGATAGAACGCCTAATTGGAGTGATTGTCAAAAGTGCACGTGGCTTTGATAACCCCTCTGTTGTGAATCTCTTCAAAATCCACCATCCCCGGGATATGCTTCCCTGTGACTTGTTTTTGGAAGCCAATTAATAAAATCAGGAACTTTATCCTTATGAATCGAATTCACTCACCGGTACTACCATTTTAGTGTCAGGAATTCCCCTGTCGCCGTTACGAGATCAGCATAGTTCTGGACAGATTTTTGTTATAATTGTGCGGTGGTCCGTAGACGGAAATGATACCAGTATGCGCTTGTCGAAGAACTCGTGTGGTTGAATACAAATCTAAAATATCTCTCTTTAGCTAACAACCTGACAACGCTTTTTCATCTCCAGCTATGAATGCGCAAACGGGGGTGGATGAGAAGGTCGGTGGTGGTGGTGGTGGTGGTGGCGGATGGTTCTCTTCTCTCTTCGTGTCCCACTCTGTACCCACAGTTTTGCCCCCATTTCTTGTGCCCTTCCGGGACAGTCTTGTCTTTGCCGTCCTCGTCCTCGTCGTACTCGGGGTTTTTGGCGTCGGCTCGGGTTTCATCGGCTTCGCTGCAGAGGACGAAAAGGAGGATATGGGGTCGAGGGTAATAGGAGCTGAGGAGTTCAATAATATAGAAATTGATGAATGAGACTATAGTTTACACACCTTTTTGTATAGATGTCGTAGTACGACTGCTTTTTTAAAGAGCTAACATTTCATTTGTTGCTTGGCTTTCTCAAAGCCTTGAAGGGCTTAAAATGAGGTTGAAGTTCAGTCTCACAACATAGAACGCTGTTGTTTGGTGGGGTTTTTGTAAGGGTTTTAGCAATTATCACCCTATTGTGATGTCTTTAATGCGAAATTGCGATGACAGGAAACTCCAAGTGGAGACCGTTGTTTGTGGTGGCCGGTGTACAACTTGGGGATATCCACACATGCAGATGGCTTAAGAACTTTATGTACAGTAGTGGGCACATTTGTGAGTCCTCCTATGACAACGGTGAATGCAGTACATTTATGAAAATGAGCATTTACGATTTCTAGAAAGTTGGGAAAAAGTACTAGCTTCATACTGCTCAAAACTGGACGATGCTCTGTAGCGAGGGTACGGCGCATGCTAGTTCGAAGTTGTAAGGAAACTGGCCTACAATGGAATCATTTGTTAAAATATGGAAATTGGAATGCTTTCACAGGGCTAATGCTTCACATCTATTCTTCCTTGCTACCCTTCCTCATTGCAGATCTGTAAGTTTTCAGTTAGCGGTTTTAAGTGGCGTCGCCCGAAGGAGGCAAGAAAAGTCTGTCAAATGACTACCGCATGCCCAGTATTAACAATGTCCGTCAAGTAGTAATTGTTTGACTGATGAGGAAAATTTGAAAAAAATGGCTACTGAGTATTAAACAGCGCGCGGGATTCTTCATCACAACTTTTTGGCGCAAACGCGGGGTGTTGTATTTGAAAGCATTCTGAGCCCATTACAAACAGTTACGAAGAGCTGAAGCAACTACTTAACTGCGCATATCAGCCGATTTGAAGTGTTCCAAACAAAGAGGTGCTATTAGCATAATTCAGCATTAAATGCCCGCTGTAACGGATGGATGCAGAAGCACGGGTTGCATGACTGATCCAAGTCAGCTTCTCGACTGTACGTATCAGGGGGAAGGGATGACATTCATTTGAAGTACTGCGACCACGAGGCCCAAGGATTCGGTAGGATGGCGAGAGAAATCGGCTGCAGAGAAGAGGTCCTCAAATCTCCTACCAAAGAATGCGAATATTCTTACTCGCTAGAGATCACCGCTAAGGTGATGTCTTCTCCGGTCCCGCTGAACCTTACCATAGATGCTGCTCACTAAACTTAATTTGCTGTGAATGTAGGCAGAACTGATTACGTGGTGCATCAAGCTGCATTGGAAGGTGGCTCAGCTTCTTCAGCCCCTTGACGGTTGTCTAAAGTGCTTAAACGGGCCATTTATGGGGGTGACAGAAGCAAAGGCAAATGTAATTCCTCATTGACCGACTTGTTCGTGTTTTTTACGGTTCTGCGGCTTGAGAGTGGAGTACCATTGCTCAAGGTTGCAGCTAACCTCCTGATATCACTTTTAGACTTCACTATTTTACGCATTTCAATAACATACTTGATAGCCAATTTGTACAGAGATCCACGTTATTTTTTGTCCAGGCTGTCGAATCCGCCGGTTTTTGTACTGCAGGTCGTCAACACTCAATCATTTGATTAATGCGTGAGATATAGGGGAATAAATCACACAGCACTTTACACCAGGGCCACATAAGAAGAATCCAACTAGGTGTGTAGCGGTGCTTCTTTGAATGTCTACTTGACTAAGTGACCAAGTCACCGGAGCAAAATAATTACCAAACACACCATTGAATGTTGACGTTTGCAGTATTTGGCTCTACAAAACCAAAAATTGCAACCCAAGGTATGTAGCAATGACGCTTGAGTCGTCATTTTTTCTCCGCAGGGACTTAAATACCTTTGTGAACAAAGATTTCGCCAATCCTGGAAAATAATGAGAAATGAAAACTGGCATTCGTGACACTCAGTCGGGAAAATCGCCCATCAGATAGTTGATAGTGTACAGTAGACTTGTTCTCTTTTGAGGCTGTTCGAATAGCTAATGTCAGCCATATTTGCGAAAAAATTTGCTTTATAGAATGGTTAAGGTCCAGCGGGGAGTACCAATAGCATCCAATACTAATTAGGAAGGTTTGAATTAGACCACGATGGTCTAGATTGTTTGGCAGTCTAGTGGTAAATAAGTAACCTCTGAAGCATCCGAAAAAGAAAGTTTCCTAGGGTTGTAAGCATCCCTAGAGGCATCTCTTCACAGCTCTTGCAAGTGTCTGCCCACACTGAATTAATATGCATTTAATGCTGCATCGGACACAGAAATCATATCAGCCACTCAAGTTGTAAATCAATTATAACAAATAACTGAATAGTTGGTTTATTTTACAATAAAAATGGCTTATCGGCAGGCCGTATCATAAACAAAATGCGATTTCAATTTTACTTGCCTGATACCCTGTAATTTTGAATAAACATTAAAGAGAGATGGAAGTGCAGTTCTGTCTTGGAAATTCTTGTAGCACTTATAGAGGCGTTTTTAGTTGGTCTACAACAATGACCCACCAAACAGTTTTTTAGCTTACAGCTTTAAAACACCCGTGACGCAACATAGCAGGAGCATCATGTCAGTTAATAACTACATCCGAACAACTGGTTTTCCTTACTACCCTGAAATAGTTATAAAAAGTTTCATCTTCTCCTACTTGCATTATCCTGTCTTGATTTTTTGCAATGCGAATTGTGTAAGGCATTAGAGCGAAATGGCATCTGCTCATCTGTTTACTTAACCCCGAGGCTCTTCAGTTGCTGCGGTTTGAACTTACGTTCTGGCCTGTAAGAAATAACCCTTTGACATTAGCCCTCTCGTCACAGCTTTGATAAGGTATGGGCTGTCACATATCCGCCAACCCTTGAATCGTCTGTTTGTCGTGGCAAGGCGCGCAATCCTACTTTGAAATCGCATTCATTAAGAAGAGATTCGTGCCCCATTTCTTAAATTAGTTCCAATTGGAAATTGACCAGTTTTAGCTAGCGATATAACTGTGCTTTGGGTTGGATGTCAAAGAATATACATTTTCTGCAACAGTCCTTAGAGTAGCCAAGCCGAAGAGACTATGCTAATTGTAAGCCATGCAATGCAGATCTGAATGAAACTTCAAAGTCGGGTGTTAGAGAAATACATTTTTGGTAGTCATATTCCCATAAAAAGTCCTTGTCTCATGACGAATGCCTCGTAGAAGAATTTAACTTTGCCTCAAGTTAAGGCAATCAAGACCTGGTATTTTGACATTTTCCACGGATTGGTGGGTAATGCTGCTCATGATATGAACTTTATTTCCAAAGATTGCAAAGATTTCCTAGATGATAACAGTGGCCAACTTTGCTAATGGCAACCTAAATATCAAGTATGTTCTACATAGCCTAAAATTAACTTGTATAAAGTCAAGAAATTGAAGGATTTCTTCACTGAAGTCGCTTCTTTTGTAATCAAATTGAATTCATTTACACGCAGTTGTAGCACCGCATTTGTAAAATATCCTCTTCTACATATAGTCGTAATTTTTACTTAAATTAGCTATTCATTTTCATGTATTTTTTTTTGTAAATCCGCTCCTGCGCATGCAGTCAGTAACTCCTTTAACTGGGAGTTTGAAATAATGGGACCTTTTCGACTTCAGTTAATCCTCAAATCCAATAACTTTCACTCATTTATCTCGTCTACTTTCCCTGTAAATTATCTTGTCTTTATTATTCAACGGAACTTATTTATATCAGCTTATTTACCCTACTGAGGCGTAAAGGTAACGTCATGTAAAACCATATAGCGAGGCGAATGCTCATTTTGCGGGGATCGTGTCCAGGAAATTTGCATCGGTCCAAGTAGTAGAACAGTGGTTGAGCAACAACTGGTGTAAAGTAAGGCACCACGAGCCTTAGAAGAGGAATTACTAACACTTGTTGGTGTGTTCCTCGAACGATGTCGTTTCCATGGTTAAAGATAGTCTGGGGAATTAATAAAATCTTACCTAAGTTTGACTAAGAGGCAAAATCCACAGGCAAGAGATTTTTTTATTTTTAAGGGGAAGATTTGTGTGCAGTTCAGCGTTAAAGGTTAAAAGAGTTTCAGTTCTTAAAATCCATCTAAATAAACAAAAAAAAATTATTTTGGGCTGGTTTTATCACAATTTAAAGAAATCGAGGCTTAACTTCAACTGAAGAATAATGAGTTTTACTGGGAAAAATAGTCAAAATGGAAAGAAATACATCATACTTTACCAGTATCAAACCTAGCATAGTTTGTCTGGAGGAGAAAATAATCTTTTCGGCACCGAATAATTCATGTGTAGCGTCCCGAGACTCCCTG